ATTTTGACAAACTCTACAACGTAGTTACCCACAGTTCTAGAAACAGGCCCAGACTGATGACAAACCAGTAAGAGCTTTTAGCCCTCTTCCATTTTCAGAGCTTATTTAACCAGGGAGGCACAATCTGGCTCATATTTGGGTACGCTTCTGAAGAAGCAACTGTTTAAGTGTCCAGTGTGCACAGGTTTAAGAAAGAAGAGGCTAAAGGAGCAAACACAAAGCATACAGCTTGAGAAGATCCAGATGGGACTTCCTTTTAGAAATAGACCTCTTCCTGGATTCTGACTCGGAAGAGCAGGGCCCTGCCAAATCACAAAGCCGCCGAGGACTGCCAAGTATCTGAAAGGAAAGGGAACAGAAGTTACTAGAGGATTATCTAAGCATTATTTAAATACAACAAATGAGTCACAGTTCTAGCAAGCCCTGGAACCCAGGGTAGCAGGACTGTAGTTTCTCACAGCAAAGCAAAACAGTACACTGATGTTCTATTTTATAGAACACCTATATTAAAGTTACTTTTCTTCTTTTTAAAGGCAGAAAAGCAGGAAGAGAAGAGCACAATATTGAACAAGAATCACGTGCAGAATGTCCTCCAGCGCTTTAAATTTTTGACTATGTTCCAACAGATACTACACACAGGCCAATCTTTATGCCTAAATATAGAGCACGTATCTTGCATTATGTTATATCCTAAAGGGGGCCTTTCTCCTCAGTCACCCAGTTACAAAATGATAGAGTCACAAAAAGACAGGCAAAGTGATTCCTTCTGATTCAACCTGTTGAGTGGCGTCCTGTCAATGCCCCCCATGAAATACAAGGAGAAACCTTTACAAACAAGCCCATATTGATAACCAGAGGCAACAGGAAACAACATGAAATTGAGTTTTTCCTAAAACTTCAATTGCTATTGTTTAAAATTAGAGGAAAATAAGTGCCAGGGTGACTGCCAGTTCAGACAACAGCCCAGTGGGTGGCTGTGTGGTGTCAGGAGAGATCTTCAGACACAGAACATCCCAAGTATCCACAAGTGAGAAAAAAATCCCTGTAAGAGAGACCACTCTTCCGACAAATGATGCAAGTCGCCTCATGCTGCACACCACCAGAAGAAAGCCACACATGTGAAACAGAAGAGCCCACAATTTCAACTGCTGCTCAAAGAAGTCTCACAGTGCTCCAGTTCTAGCGCTGTCAGAAGCACTGGGCAGGAGGCCAGCATGGACTGGTCTTGACACGGCCACTTAAGATGTTGGCAGCTTTCTTGTGGCTATTCTCATAAAGCTCAAGAAAACTGTATTTCAAAAACCTGGCACGTAATCAAAGCATATATTCACTTTAATGCCTGGAATACTACACTGTGAGGATGAACGTCTCCTTCTAGCAAGAGCAGAGAGTGGGGAAAGACGCCAAAAAAGTTGAGAACTGGATCCCTATAGTGTGTCTCACCCAAAAGAGCAGTCATGACTCGGTGGTAAGATCTGCTCTGTGCAGCACCACAGCATGAACACTGATGGAGTTGCCACAGCAGCTTGCATTATAGAGATAAATAGAGCTATTACAACTTTATAAAACTAAAAATATTTGTCAGAGTGGCTTTGATGTAACAGATGTGCTCAGAAAGGGCAATTTCAGCATCCCTACTGCTGAGGTATGGAATGGACTGGTATGCCCAATTGGTAACAATTAATGTTAAATAAACTTTTTGCTTTGCACATGTGATTATCCTACCTCCTTCATAATTTTGATGGCTTCTACTCGGTGCTGAGGTGGTGGGTAAAGCAATATCCGGTGATAGAGAGACTGCAGCACAGGCTTCATGGATTCCACCGACCCCACCAGTCGAACCAGTTCTGCTGCAATGTAATATATGGTCCGTGCGACGGGCCCACTCAGGGCAGGTGCTGTGGAGGAACAACCTGAACCCCGGCCATGATCAGAGATCCCTGAAGAAGGTGAATCAGCCTCAAGGCAGATGCTGCTGTGGGCTGAGGTGATAGTTTTGTCATGGATTGGATTTCCCAGGATTACCACTAGGGCTGGACACAGTTGCTTCCTGAGAAAAAGAGAAAAAGCAGCAGATGGTAACTGGAAAAATATAATCTCACAGGAACAGCTTGAAAATAGCCCACGGTTAAATGAGATACACACTCTTGTTTTAATGATCAGTCAACAGCAGTGGTTAGATGGAATAACAAATTACGCCAGGCTTTTTTCATCTCCCAAGCACCAGCATGCTAGGACATATGGAAATACTTTTGGGTGCTTTATAAACAAGATACTGATTTTGCAAGTTCATGTTGCTGCACAGCGCTGCCCTGACAGGACAGCACGCCTCTCTCTCGCAATGGCCGCAGCCTATCGCAAGGTAGAAATTCTAGATTCCTACTGACAAGTATTTCTTCTTCAGTCAAACTTGGGAGCTTTAAAAAAACCTGGCCAAACAAAACCCAACCTATGTTAACCAGAAGGCCTGATGTTCCATCAATGCACTGCACACTTGCCCCTCTACTCTGCACTCGTGAGACCCCACCTGGAATACTGTGTCCAGCTTTGGAGTCCTCAACACAGAAAGGACATGGACCGGCTGGAACAGGTCCAGCGGAGGGCCACGAAGATGATCAGAGGGATGGAGCACCTCTCCTATGAAGACAGGCTGAGGGAGCTGGGATTGTTCAGCCTGGAGAAGAGAAGGCTCTGGGAGACCTTATAGCGGCCTTTCAATACCTGAAGGGTGCCTATAGAAGAGCTGGGGAGGGACTCTTTGTCAGGAAGTGTAGTGATAGGACGAGGAGAAATGGTTTTAAATTGGAAGAAGAAAGATTCAGATTAGATCTCAGGAAGAAATTTTTTACTATGAGGGTGGTGAGACACTGGAAGAGGTTGCCCAGGGAAGTTGTGGATGCCCCATCCCTGGAAGTGTTCAAGGCCAGGCTGGATGTGGCCTTGAGCAACCTGGTCTGGTGGGAGGTGTCCCTGCCCAGGGCAGGGGGTTGGAACTTGAGGATCTTTGAGGTCCCTTCCAACCCAAACCGTTCTATGATTCTATGATTTGGATACTCTTTAAAACATGCATGTACTTTAGTAAGCACCCTTAGTTGTGAGCCTCTGTTTTGCTGGCTTTTGAGAACATAATTAAAACCCTCTACAGTAACTCAAAGCGTGCACTGTAACTCCTCATACGCCACTAAAAACACCGACGTTCCTTCAACTTAGTTTCTGCATGAACACTCAAGTTAAGTGATTCCACACCAGCAGGTAAAAATACAAACACTTGTAGATTTGCAGTGTGAACTGGATCATCAAAATGATGTAAATTTAAAAGAAAACAGCAAGTATTTTCTTTTAACCAAGATAATTTCAGTAACCTCGCTTATAGGATGGCCCCACAGTCAGTCACATAAACATAAATAAAGGGTTGGGTGAAATTCAAGGGCAGAAACTTCTGAAATGGGTTTGCCATGAAAGAGAGAATTCTGGTGTTACACTGGAGCTCCCAGAGGCCTCAGCACAGAGTCCTTGTGCAACGCTGCCATGTGTTATCAACCCGAAGACCTCCCAGTCCAGCAGCCACTGATTTTCCTAGAACAGCAAGGTGTCCTGGTTTGAGGACCACGACACAAGGGAAGTTATTAGAGGTTCCTCTACATGTTGCACCCTTAGAACTGCACCCAAATCAAACACTTCCATTTGAAAAATTACAGGGCACAAGAAACACATTTGCTATTAACAGTCACATACATCTTTCCTTAACACAATCAACTGCCAAGGTCACACAGGGTGAGCACGGACTGCAAAGAACTGCATTATTAGTTACATTCTTGCTTTATTATTATTACACAATTATCCCTATGCTATATAAAACCACTATTGCAAACCAAAAAAGGGAAAAGGATGATTTGAGGTCCTCCAAGGTAATCGTCTCAAACAATTTAGAGGTAGATATGAACAATAAAGGCGTCAAGTCTTTCCGGTGAAGTGTATTAAAAAGAGGATTTCTTGGGAAAGTAGAAACACCATGAAGACCAATTAGTCTTAGCCCTTATACAAGGCAGGTCCTGAGCACTTTTGGTCACCAGACATCATCTGACATTAATTTTGCTTATCTTCCTGTATTACTGCATCAGACCAGTAAGAATCTCCCCAGCACCATCCTGTGATAAGCAGAATATTTGTGTGTTTAATGCCACAGACAAGTCCAAACTATTGCGGAAAGCGCAAGAGATTTTCTGTTCTGGCTAAATACATTAGACTTCATTAAAGTGGTAATTCACTACAGGGATTTAATGTGCTAGTTGAGCATGAGGTCCTAACCAATCTTATACACTATTGCGGAAAGCGCAAGAGATTTTCTGTCTAAATACATTAGACTTCATTAAAGTGATAATTCACTACAGGGATTTAATGTGCTAATTGAGCATGAGGTCCTAACCAATCTTATATGAGGCACAGAATGACCTGATAGTAGGTTAACAGCAAGCTCTGCTCACGTCTGGAGATTTCCTACAGGTTTGTTTGCAAGGCTGAGGGGAGAAGGTCCTTTTATATTTACAAACTGAATTTTTGCATTAGGCTTCAGATGTACTCACCATATGAGATCAGTGAATCCCTTGTGCTGGTGCATGCTGGACGAGGAGCTGTTTAACATGGAGAGGATGCACTCCAAGTAAAGAAGCTGAAGTTGCCGATTGTCACTGGCAAAGAGAAAAGATGCCATTCACATCACATTAAAACAAAGATTAACTAATTTGCTAACATAACTACGTTATTTCACTTGAAAATTACACTGCAAGTTACAGCAGCCATTTATTTTTGCTTCTTCCTATGGATTAACTGATGTGATCACTTTTATCATCCCATTTATTTTGTACTGAACGCATGCAGTGATCTGCTACTTTTTGTAACAGAAAGAAAATAGATTTAATTAATCAAATTTCAGAGTGATTAAAAAAAAAATATATGTGAAAAAAAGAGAAAGAATAAAACAGAAATAATTATTCAAATTCAGTCTGAAAACTTGAGGAGGAAGGAACCCTTTAACAGAGGAAAAGGAGACAAAGAAAAGATTTTTCACTATTAGATAGTTTCTTCAAGCAATCTGAAGGGCATTTAGGTTGCTCTCTTCTGGTTGGTTGTTTTCTGTTTTCTTGGTGACAGCCACAATGGTCAAAAGTCAATGTCTACAGGGAGAAAGTTGCATGATGGCATTGCTACCTTTCAAGGCCTTGCCAGTTATTCTGTCAGAACCACAAACACAACGTGAGCTTCATGAGAAAGAACATGAAAGATCCTGGGGTCACCTGAAATGGATGCACTTGTAATGTCCAATATGTTGTACCTACTCTCAGAATTATCTGGGGAACTCAGGAGACAAGCAGAGCCGAGGTTTGCCTTAGGAAAGGAGCTCCACATGCCAACTGCTCTCAGAATTTGGTTTTCATTACTAAAAAGACTAGGATTTAACCATTCTTTTCTGAGCCAAGATGAGAGCTAGAGGAATGTATTTTCTGATGTACAATCGTAGGTAAAGCTGTAAAGAATGGATTTATCTTAACTGAAATTAAGGCATGAGAAATGCCTGCTCTCCTGTCACTGCCTGAATCCCTTTTGTTCACGTAGATGAATTTTCATCCAAGTAGAACAGTTCCTGTCCCACACGCCAGGCAGAAGAAAGCAAATCCCAAGGCTCAAAGCCAGATTTCTACCTCTGCGCTATAGAGGGTTTAAAACTGCTGGCTGCTTTTATATTTTAGAGGTGACAGCCTTACCCTCACAACAGTCCATACCTATCTGGAAAGAGGCACACATTCCAGATACAATTGCCTTCTTTCCCAACAGCTCTTCTTACAACGTGTTTTAAAGCTTATCATCGATATCTTCCAGTCGATACGTGTCCCTGCACTCTTGGTTTCTCTGATGCTGCTCAGTACCAAATTATTTCCCTGCAGGTAAATCCTGCACCCCTGCCCACCTCAGCATAGATGTTGTTTTTGTATCACTCCTGCCACAAATTCCAGAGTCCCCAAAGTCACCAGCAGCCCTGAACTTCCCTGAACTCTTCCTCATCACTCACAGCTGTGCCTCCCTCAAAACCAAATTCTAATCAGCTGGAAATCCAGAAGGAGGAATTAATCTTCAGGCTAAGAAATTAAAACATGCAGCACAGCACACCAACACCTCACTTCTCTCACCCGGAGGTTAGAAAATGAAATTGCTACCCAAAAAGTGTTTTGAAGGAGACACCAAAATAGGCCTTGAAACCAATAAAGGCTTTTCATTCATGGAGTTAGGTCTTTAACAAGCCATCCTAATGGTATTTATTTTCCTCAGATTCAATCCTAATCCTTTACTACGCTTTGCTCATAATTAGAGATCCCCTCAGTGAGTGTGGATCATGGCTCAGTGAGTGTTTTAAGTCCTCTGAATCTCTTATTGCACTCTATCTACAGCATGCCTCAGTCTGTTCTAATTCAAGACAGTTTTATGGGGAGCTGGGATTGCAGATAATGTTTTAAAACACTTTCAGCGATTTTGAAAGATCTTGTTGGGTAGTTTCGCTTTGGTATTTCATAACCAGTAATTCAAAGTGATTATCATTTGGTGGACAATGATAGCCTCAAGTGTGGGCAACATTTGATACAAAGAGTTAATCGTTCAGCTAGTTTTGCCACTTGCTATTGTTAGATACACACATTTGAAGATCTCATTGTCCTGTAACTATGCACACAACTAAAATAAACAAATAAATAAATGTTCTTTTAGAAGATTCAGAAACATGCCTTTATTTTCCCAAATGCTGACACTGATTAAATAATGCTAAATAAGGATATCTTCCCGTTCAAATCCTGCTGTAATTAGAGAGGAAAGCCTATAAAAGAACTGCACATAAAGATGTCTTTGCTGTCGTCAGCTCTGGTAGTTCCTAAACCATAGTCTTTCCCAAAATGGTACAGGGTATCAAATGTTTCTGTTAGGTTTTTCCATGTCTCCTGTAACTGTTGTTTTCTCTACAGTGGTTGCTTTCAAGCCAAAAGAGAAAAAAAAATTTCCTTTGACAAGTATTTAGCTGCTGTATGGGAGTTACTTATAGATTAGATTTACTGGAAATTCTTTAACGCCAAACAGTGCAGAGAAGGCAAATTAGCTTCTCATCCCAATTGATGATTAAATGAATGCATCACGAACAATAATTCCTCTAATAAACACTTCATTTAAGCACAGTTTTGCTCCATAATCTCAGAACTACATCAGCACAATCACACGTATCAGCGACACTCTCAATCTCCAGGTAATAAATTCAAATTATAAACTGAAATAACTCACTTTATGACAGCCTGGAGCTTCTCACAGAGCACAGTGAGGACAGATACAACATCATCACAAAGAGACTCAGCTGAAGTACCTCCAAAAAGGACAAAGATCAGAGGCATTACTTATGTGCAGCTGGATTACAACCTCAATTCACTGCGTAGACTTTCAGAGCTTCTAAACAATAAGCAGGGCTGCCAAAATTCATAGAGAAGATGCAGTAGGAAAAGTCCTAGATCAGGAAGTGATCTCCACACAATGAAAAAGCAGTAGTATTAAATCCAGAGAGAGCATTGATTGCTTACATTCATTTACAGAAGGTTAGCTGAAATCCAATTCAGAGAATAATATAAGTATATAAATAAATAATGAAAAAAGACCGGCTCCAGTAATTCTACATGACAGCTAAAATTTCTGTTTCTCTTCCTGCAGTTTGTCTCTGCTACACAGCTTCTCATGTCTGATCAGGTACTGATCTTAAAAGAGGATGCACATGTACTTCAAAGATTTTAGCCTCCATTCACACAAGTTCTCCTGCAGAAATCCAGTGAGAAGGTCAAAAGCAGGGACTATTTTTACCTATCGGGGAAGATTTTGGGAGTTAAGCCAGAATGGGAGTAGAAAAATTTCTCTTGTAAAACAATCATTTGGCAAGTATGAACAGACCTTCACTGGGGACGTGCTTTTGAAAGCTGCCATTATATAAACCACGTCTCTGGCCTGAAATACCATGACACAATAATTTCCAGATTCCACGTCCTACTCCACGAATCTGTTTCGATTTAGGAAGTAAAGGCACTTACTAGAGCACTCCAGAGCACTGAAACATCTTAATTACATATGTTAGCACCTTGAAACAATTATTTATTACTGTTGAGTGCAATGCTGTTACCATGGTCCACGTGAAGACACGACTGAAAGTATCAGGAGCTAAAAGGGTTGTCTCGGTTCTTACCACAGGTAACAGAGAGCATCAAGCTATGGAGAAGGTAAGAAATCCTGAAGATGCAATTGCTGTGACATCAAACAGTACTGTGCTGATGAAAGGAAAGTGAAGAATAAATAAGCTGGATTAGGAGGAGTCACTAAAAAAACGTTACAAATACCTTGGCTCTTGAATTTCTGCGAGACGTCATGGTTTTCAATTGTCTGTTGAGGAAAGACAAAGGTGGTGTAATCGGTGCAAGGGGTAGAAAAATACTGTAGGAACAATACTTTAACAGCAGAGCTTTCTTAAGAAATCCACGTCCTCTATCTGTTTTGGGTTTTTTGTTTGTTACTTTTTTTTTTTTTTAAGTGAAGCTTTTGCTAAAAGTTTTAAAAATTCCTTAAGATCTGTTTTCAACAGCCATTTAGATTGAAGGAACTCAGATCTCATTGAGCTGAACTGGGATGAGTAAGTTCTTAAGGGATTTCTTACACCTAAAAAACCCCAGTAATAGATAGGCACGTAAGGTGCAGTGAAAGTAACCGAGAGGAAAGCATAGTCTAGATTTCACAAAGTACTTAGCAACCAAAATCAATTGAGTATTAGAGAGTTTTCACCTACTCCCCAGCTAAGAGCAGAAATAACAACATTCAACTTTCAGACCCAAATTGAAATTTCAAAGCTACTGGGTTTGATTTGGGCTTGGCTATTGTTTTTTGGTAAATGTTTTGGTGAGTAAAATGAACCTACTTAGCACAGATGGAAGATAAATTTAAGTAAACCAATTAATTCTGTTCCAATAATCCAAATTAGACTAATAATCCAAAATAAAAATGGTCACCTTAACCCAAAACAGATGTAAGGAAAATAATCCATCCAACTACAGTCCTGAAAATTTCCTAATAACTAGAAACTGACTTTTACAAAACGTATTTTTTTGATACGATGATGATATACAAAGAAGCACAAACAAATGTAAGAAGCCAGTGTAATTTCACACGTACCCAGAACATTCAGAGTTTTGCTGACAATGTGCTGGGATTTCATCCAAACAGCTCTTGTGGTTTTTAATAATGCAATAAATAGAACTAATTTTTTGTGCTACCAACCAGGCAAAGAATTTAATGAGTTTAAATTATCTTCTACAAAAAAAGTAGAAAAAACCACCTCAATTACCCTTTCCTTCGTTGAGGATTTGTTTTGTTTATGTAAATATTTGTCATGCAAAAACGTTTGGCAAAAGGATTTCAATGAACCTTAGGAAAACAAGCAAACCAAAAAAAAAAAAAAAGAATGGAAAAGGCCAAGGCAGCCTGACATCAGAACAAAACCTCTTTTGTTTAATGGAAGGAGAAAAAATAAATAAATCAGCCAAGTAGAGCTGACAACGTGAGAGCTGTGTTTCCGACAGACTGCTCTGAAAAGCAGAGTCAGAGCCCAAAAAAAGCGCTTTTAAACATGATTAGCTGTGGAAGTGTCAAATAAAAGCCACAAGGCACAACAAGCCAGTACAACACACTGCATTCAGAGAAACAAAAAAAAGGGTATGCAGCCATGGACATGGAACCGTTTGTTGATGCCAGAAGGCTCACCATATTTTCTTGCTTTTGCCGTAACTGTAAAGTCAAGTCACTCAACATTTGGCTGAGGGTTGCCCGCACAGCGGTGTTAATGCTCCGCTGGTGACAGCTAGATACATATGTCTCAATGCAAACCTGATGGGGAAACAAGAATGCAGTACATGGAGATCAACTGGAACTTACCCCTCGCACATTTTAGGAGGATACCAAGGTCTCTCACATAGAGAGTCAGCCTTCCTTACCGCTCTAACCGTGCTTTATGAGCACACGAGAAGTTTTCAGCAACGTGGAAACCCAGTGAGTAGCATCCAGAAGTCTCACAGCTGAGGAATGGTAAGGCAAAATTGGGAAAGTCTTTCCCTCCTGTCAAACCCAAGGGATTTTGGCACTTGGCTTGCTCTGTGGATAATTCTCGAAACGCTGCCAAGGGATTTTGGCACTTGGCTTGCTCTGTAGATAATTCCCGAAATGCTGCTTTCACTGAATTTCACGAGTTGGAAGGGACCATAGAGATCATCTAGTCCAACTCCCCTGCTGAAGCAGGATTGCCTAGAGCTTGTCAGAGCATGTTACTCAGGACGGCATCCAGGCGGGGCTTGAAAATCTCCAAAGAAGGGGACTCCACAACCTCCCTGGGCAGCCTGTTCCAGGGCTTTGATTGTTCATTTTTACACACACCTTTGTACCTATCACTCTGCAAGTGCAATGTAAATACCCTCCAGTTCTTCAAGGTTGTTGCTTCTATTGCATAGGTATTTGCCATCTTTTCTCCAATTAATTATCATATACTGCAGCACAGCTGAAAGCCTTTCCTAATACAAAAAAATCACAACAGTGTTTTACCATAAACACCACAAATGATTGCTGTTTAATAACTGGCAATCAACCCGAGGGCTCCTCGGCTCAGAGATCCCATGGGATCCAAGGCAGCAATGAAGGAACACGGATGCATCATCCAGTTCCCAGCTCCGTGCCCAGCTGCTCGTGGCTTTTGGACACTGTGCTGTGACCAGGGTTGTGCTTGACTTTTGCCCCCAGACGATGTTATACAAAGAGCTGCCAAAGTCTTTGAGGTCCCTTCCAACCCAAACCATTCTATGATTCTATGATTCCATGATAATACATAATTTCTATCCTTGATCAGATTTTCGGTGGGAGGTGTTGGGTCTCTGTAAGAGCTGCTATAACCGTAGTAACTACTGTAACTACCAAGTGGGTAACAGTCCTGATGGAGCAGAGTGAATCTGTGACAGAATTGTACAATATAATCTTCTCAGACTGTGAGCTGAAGAAGCAGATTTGGTCCTTTGTCCTGCAATGAGCTTTATCATTAACAATAACCATAAAAAAATTAATAAATTCTGCCCCATCCCTGGAGGGGTTCAAGGCCAGGCTGGATGGGGCCTTGAGCAACCTGCTCTAGTGGGAGGTGTCCCTGCCCAGGGCAGGGGGGTTGGAACTGGATGACCTTTGAGGTCCCTTCCAACCCAAACCATTCTATGATTCTATGATAATACATAATTTCTATCCTTGATCAGATTTTTGGCGGGAGGTGTTGGGTCTCCGTAAGAGCTGCTATAACCATAGTAACTACTGTAACTACCAAGTGGGTAACAGTCCTGATGGAGCAGAGTGAATTTGTGACAGAATGTACAACACAATCTTCTCAGACTATGAGCTGAAGAAGCAGTTATGGTTCTTTGTCCTGCAATGAGCTTTACCATTAACAATAACCGTAAAAAAAATAATAAATTAAATGTCTGTTCACATACTTTCAGTCTTTGTGGTTTTATTCTGCCATGGTTCAGATATATAGCTAGTGAGAAGGAACTTGAATATAGATTCAACTAGCTGTGAAAAAAATTATAAATGTATACTATAAAGGATTCTCCCCTCCCCATGCCAGCTATGGAGCAACAATACTGTTCACTTCAGCTCCCATCTTACAGAAGGCCCGTGTTCTAAAAGGGCTGGGCAAGGTACCTTTTGAAAAGCCACTGATGAAGAACCAGCAATAAAAACGCGAGAGCTCAGGGCCCCGAGGAGACGCGCAATGGACATTTTGATCATTTCATGCATTCGGGGACTTCCAGCTCTATGACATGCAAAACACAACTAAGAGCAAAACACAGTAAGGGTTAGCCAGTGAAACACAACAAGGTCAAACAAAGCTAAAGGTAGAGAGGAGTTACAAATAACACGCATAAAAACAAGCAACAGCATCAACTAAACTTTCTTGCAGGGGTCGAGGCAAGCATGGGAAGGCGTACACAGCAAGATTTAGTCTGGTTACAATACTATTAATACTTACACATCCTTTTAAAGGATTAATCTTTTAAACCATGTACAGCCTTTTGCAGAGGCCAAACCATTCCAGTGCTGCTGAGATCATTCTCTTGAGTTTTAAGTCTTTTTCCAGAGTAACTGAATTAATTGATTAAATACTTGGCGGTAGGCTGACTTTCTGGAAAGAGCATGGTTGATATCTCCTTCTTCTCTCCCCTCCCCATGCCAGCTATGGAGCAACAATACTGTTCACTTCAGCTCCCATCTTACAGAAGGCCCGTGTTCTAAAAGGGCTGGGCAAGGTACCTTTTGAAAAGCCACTGATGAAGAACCAGCAATAAAAACGCGAGAGCTCAGGGCCCCGAGGAGACGCGCAATGGACATTTTGATCATTTCATGCATTCGGGGACTTCCAGCTCTATGACATGCAAAACACAACTAAGAGCAAAACACAAGAAGGGTTAGCCAGTGAAACACAACAAGGTCAAACAAAGCTAAAGGTAGAGAGGAGTTACAAATAACACGCATAAAAACAAGCAACAGCATCAACTAAACTTTCTTGCAGGGGTCGAGGCAAGCATGGGAAGGCGTACACAGCAAGATTTAGTCTGGTTACAATACTATTAATACTTAATAAAATATAGCACTTTTTATGTTGGATGCATCCTTAATTTCGAGCGGATAGTATTCAGAAAGATTTGGGGTGCCATTATTCTGCATATGTGATTTGAGAACGATCAGGCCATGCAAAATGGCCAGACCATAGCCTTGTTCTACCAGAGAGTTCTACCAGTAGCACAGGCAGCACCTTTCCAATTCTGCAGAGGCTCCACTTTGCTACAGAGGGCAGGCTAGGAAAACTAAGGGACTGACTTGGAAAGAAATGCCAAATAGCAGGGTTGCTTTGTGGCTTCAAAGTGGGAGAGGGTAGATTTAGATAACAAGAAGAATTTTTTCACTCTGAGGGTGGTGAGGCACTGGAGCAGGTTGCCCAGAGAAGCTGTGGCTGCCCCATCCCTGGAGGGGTTCAAGGCCAGGCTGGATGGGGCTTGGAGCAACCTGGTCTGGTGGGAGGTGTCCCTGCCCAGGGCAGGGGGGTTGGAACTGTATGATCTTTAACGTCCTTTCCAACCCAAACCATTCTATGATTTTGATGATCCAGTTTACACTGCAGATGTACAGGTGTTTGCATCTTTAACTGTTTATCATGAGGGCAAGCCATCAGAGCAGGACTTCTTTAACCCACACTGCTACCAAGGAGTATCTGCATCCTCCAGCCACATGCTTAACAAGAAGCAGGGAAAAAAAATGCCCCAAACGCTAGGAAGACACGAAAGAGTTTAAACTGCAAACATCATTTTGAATATATAGCAGTATAAGCACACAGTAATCCATTAGCTGTGTAGTGAAGTTGTGAGCCAAACGGGTAGTTGTCTTTGTTCTTTAAGGAGCTGTTGCCTACACACACATATGTCAGATCCCAAAAGTGCCTTCCCATGCAAGCCCACCAGCCCTGCCCACCTTGCAACTGTTTCTTCACAGCAGACATAAGGCAATATCAGTCCTTAAGAAGGCAATTGTGATTTGGACCAGTTGTTTCAGGGTGTGTAAGGAAGACACGCTCTAGGTAGCAGGGTCAGGTTAAGTGACACAAGCAGTGGTAGGATGGAGGCACTTACCTCAGCAATCTTCAACACTGAACTCCCATTCAGCTCAAACGTGGAGGTGTAAGTTATACAGAGCAAGACCTTGAGTCAAAAGAGAAGGAGGAAGGAAAAAAAATTAAATTTCATCTGTTACTGCCTCCCTTCCCCACCCACGTGCTTTTAGCCACAGCTCTTTCCATTCTTGCAGCAGACATCAGAAGCTTCTTAGCACCACACATTACTGGGATAAAGGAGATGGCACAGTCAAGTTGCTTCCTCCTTAGATAACCTGGAACTGTTGTTCCCAGAGGTACAGCCCAGTGGATTATTTATCTCTGTCTCCTACATTTGTCCACGGAAGGAAAGACAATCCAGTGATCAACTCTGGTCTTGGACTCGACAGACAGAATCCATTCATGTTTTAACCACAAGCTTCACATGATTTATAATCAGTCCTGTCATTCATTTCCATTGGTATAACAAAGGAGGAAGGAAAAAATGCATACAAGTTACTATTTAGGTGACACAGATACATATGTATTATGTGAAACAAGCTGCTAATTACTGCTTGAAACCAGGATTTCCCAGCCTAGGATATTTCCAGTAAATGCATTATAGTCATTTGATAACAAGCAGCTAAATAAGAATTGATAACCCCAATTCATGAGCGAAGCCTTGTCCAGTCTTGAACTCAGCAGGAGGAATAAGAACTAAAAGCCCTGTCCCACCCCTTACTTTGAAGAGAATGTGATGTGATCTTCCCGGGGTAGTGTGGTGGGCGAGTTGGCCAACATGGTGAGAGGTGCTGGAGATGTCCTCCCTCCCTCCCCACTTCCCTTTTCAATCCTTCCTGCCCCATAGAAGACTGAGAGACCCTGAGCTACCTCCTTCAAAGCGCAGAATTCCCCCAGTGCCAGGGGGGATAAATAAAATGATAATAATAAAGAAATAGATACATTTAAAAAAAAAAAAAATCCCCCAGGATTTATGCTTTGCTTGGTCTGAAATAGCATGAGTTTCCTGGGATAAGCATCCCAGCAAATATCAATCAGATTAACACTAACACATTAGTCCCTGCATCTTCTCAGCCCCTAAGAACTACTGTTCTCTGCTTCACAAGGAAATTTGGAGCATCAGATAAGTTAGCATTACTGGCTCTTAATGATTTCTCTTATTTATTACATGCTTTCTTATTTATTACATGCTTTTCATATTAGGTTTTTATTTTAGGAGTAGCTTCTGTGACAGCTACTAATGTACAACACCCCAAGGATACCTCCTTAGTCTAGAATAGAAAAAACCCCAACCAAAACAACTTTGCCACAGTGTGTCTGATCACAGCTTGCAAGTTAAACAAAAAAGGAGGCAAAGGAAGATTGGAAAGATTATTGCCCTTCGGTTCCTGTAAAGCATCATTTTTCTGAGCTTTAATTGTATCACCGAGTTTCCACATTATGGTGAAACAGCAAAAAAATCATAATTTTTTAAAGCAGGAAGCTGGAAAGTAGATCAGCTCTCAGGTGTATCTTCTCTCTAGGTAGTAATAAACCCTGGAAGCATCTCGGAGCCTTCATAAAGCAAAATGCTGATCAGCAGGTTAAGAGAAGCATTGCTAGAGCCTCTGAACACTCTTTATTACTGTTGAATCTCTGCTTGGGAGAATATTCCTCTCTGCAGTTATTTTGCACCAGGGAGGGGGGAAAAATCTATTACTGAAAGGCAGACATTTAATAACTGTAAGGGAATTTGAATTCTCGGTTCAAAAGCAGCTTTGAGCATTAACAATTTGATCTTACAGGTACAGACAGAAGAGCCTGTCCATGGATGAGCGCGCATTTTTCTCGAGAAGGACATAAAATAACCTTTTTTGCATTTTAAGAGTCAGACTGAAAAGTTTCTATGCACTGAAATGCACTGCATCTTTACAAACGTTTTTCTCAGCAGAAAACTACAGTATTTCACTACAGAAAACTCAGTATTTCACTACAGGATGTTACACCTTCCTCCAAGGTTTGGGGTTTTTCTGATTGCTTCTTTGTTTTGCAAATAAAATACCAGTCAGGAGCACGGTCCTGTTCTTAAAGATGATGGTTTTACTATAAAAAGTGTTCCAAGAAAATCATTATGTAATGGCAATTTTACATTTATCTATATATGCTATCTTGCCTTGATTCCCAATCAGTCCTTCATAAAGAGAAGGTGAGTAATGTGGATAAATAATAGAGGTAATGAGAAAAATACATGCTACTCTTCCTGTACATGCTACGTTTCCAAGAAAATCATTATGTAACGGCAATTTTACATTTATCTATATATGCTATCTTGCCTTGATTCCCAATCAGTCCTTCATAAAGAGAAGGTGAGTAATGTGGATAAATAATAGAGGTAACGAGAAAAACACATGCTACTCTTCCTGTACATGCTACGTCTTACTTCTAGTCCTGGACTATAATCTCTTTTTCAGATATTCAGCATTGACATTTAGAGCAAAGCAAAGTTTCTGACACAAGTTTCTTCTTCATAGTTTCCCTTTTTTGTGAAATGGGCAAAATGGATTTTCTTATCTCAAAAGTGTGACACGGTCTACCTTAGTATTGCGAGGAGGGATACAAGCCACAGAGCGCTTGAATTTGCTGGAGAAGGCAATCTGTTTCTAATTATGAACAATTAGGAGTGCTGTACTTTGTATTTCTTGATGTGGACTCTGCAGATTTCTCCGCTACATCTGCTGGCACACGGACAAGTGCCAGTGATGAGGAATACAGCTGAAAAGTAAACAGTCAATTATAAAAACCCTCAAGCTCATTTGGTTAATAACTACATAAATTATAAGGGCTGTTATTTCCATCTGCTGCTCAGTCCATACCTACAAAGTTTAAAACTTCAAAACCCAACCATTTTGCTTGGCACTAAATGAATTCTAAGCTACTGGCCAGTTGTTGGGTCTCACCTTTCCAGCTGTTAACTACCCTGAAATTTTATTGACATTTCTAATAGCTGTGAGAGCTCAGCAGCTGGCTTAAAAAAAAAAAAAAAAAAAAAAAAACCCTGACCAAGGCACAAGATTGCTCTCAGCCACGATTTCCATCAGCGCCGCGGCAGGGCTCGGTTGCAGTCCTGGCGATGCTCCAGACACTCAACTGGCCTGTCTTCCCCTTTCCATGGCACAAACAGGAGGCCAGCAGGCTGCTCTTTGACATTACTGGATGAAAAACAGGATTAAAACCAAACACAAACGTAATCATTCAGATCCACTGAAAACCCTTGAGTCTCCAGACAGTATATCCCGTAGGCTGCTTAACCACCCCTTAAATTATTAAATTAAAAACTACCCTTTAAATGAAAAATTAAAGAAGAAAAGAAAGGTTGTCTCATGCAATTATTTTGATTTTTATTTTAAAGAAGGAACTAACATGACTGTAGAGATAGTTTAAAAGTCACACAACCTCCTGGATGCTTTAATTGGCTTCCATTATCTTGCAAATGCCTGGATGGAATCCCATTTCCATAAAAGGCTTAACCATAATGAAAGTATTAATTTTAATTACTGTTGAAGCTCTGACTGTCATGGAAAAAGAAATACAATTCCTACTCCCTGGCCTCCCAGGATACTAACTGTAGTATGAGAGTGCATGTGTGGACAGTTTTCACAGTAACTAGAAACAAAAAAAATCCCAAACCAAACCAAGAAAAGTGCTTCTGATGGTACAATGAAGGTAAATTGACACAAAATGTACAAGATTTGGACTAATTCAATTGATCAATTGGAACTAACATGACTGTAGAGATAGTTTAAAAGTCATACAACCTCCTGGATGCTTTAATTGGCTTCCATTATCTTGCAAACGCCTGGATGGAATCCCATTTCCATAAAAGGCTTAACCATAATGAAAGTATTAATTTTAATTACTGTTGAAGCTCTGACTGTCATGGAAAAAGAAATACAATTCCTACTCCCTGGCCTCCCAGGATACTAACTGTAGTATGAGAGTGCATGTGTGGACAGTTTTCACAGTAAATAGAAACAAAAAAAATCCCAAACCAAACCAAGAAAAGTGCTTCTGATGATACAATGAAGGTAAATTGACAAAAAATATACAAGATTTGGACTAATTAAATTGATGTTACAATGTCTATCCCATATTTTAAGAGAGGTCTCTAAAAGACAGAAAAAGTGAATATTTTTAATTTCTAAGACTACTAAATGTTGCTAGTCAAGTTCCCCGAGTGCTTAGCATGAATTCGTAGTAAAAGGCAATTCTCACATTGAAGAGCTTCTGGTGGACTCACCTCAAATAAAGGTGTGTAAGAAAGCAAGGAGTATCCCCTTGATGGAGAAAGAGGGAAAAGGTACAAAACTTAAAAGCAACTGTAATTTGTCATCACCTGTGGATGCTTCAGCACTTCACTGCATTTTGGTGCCAAGTCCAACATCCACATGCTACTGCTATTCTTTTTCTGTTCCAGCACCCAAAGTCCCATTGACAAAATCCTCTGAACATTGGGGTTTCTCCTAGTTGGGATGCACGTAGCAACTTTAGAGAGCTGAATGTTGCAGCCACCTCTAATCCCTACGTAAGATTCATAAAGGGAGTCTTTCCTGAATTATTTTACTTGCAGGTTGTAAACTTGGATGTAATGTGTGCTCAGATGATTCTCAAATCCTGTCCCCCAGAAGGAAAAACCCAGCCAGAAGACAGGGCAGGACGAGCCTCTTATCTCATTCACTAATTTGACATTTAAAGCAGTCAGCCAGCATTTCTGCAAAATAGTTTGGCCAGGAGGTGTCCTCCTGTTCAGCAGAATAATTTGTAACCTGTAAAAAAAAAAAAAAAAAAAAAAAAAGAATGCATTCTGTATTTAGGGAAAAACTGTGATTTGTACCTCCGTGCACTGCTGTGTAAAACACAGGTGTAGCACAAAGTTCATAAACCTGTCACCTCCCACTGACAAAGCTCTTCTTATCGTGCTAAGACTAATCTTATTCAGTGGTTTCTGTGTCCTGATTTTCCCTACTTGTAAAACCTTGTTTGCTACATGGGGCTTTCTGCTCTCTTGTACCATTTGGGCGCTGTACTGGTTGTTAATACCTAACACCTTCC